ATATATATAATCTTTTTAAGTTAATTACGTTTTTAACATGTTAAATATGTTTTCTAACTGATATTAAAAGAGAAACGTATTAAATGAGATAAAAAAATTTGTATTTGTTTGAAACTTTAATATATTTGAAGTTAAATTTTAAAAATACACTTATATATATAATCTTTTTAAGTTAATTACGTTTTTAACATGTTAAATATGTTTTCTAACTGATATTAAAAGAGAAACGTATTAAATGAGATAAAAAAATTTGTATTTGTTTGAAACTTTAATATATTTGAAGTTAAATTTTAAAAATACACTTATATATATAATCTTTTTAAGTTAATTACGTTTTTAACATGTTAAATATGTTTTCTAACTGATATTAAAAGAGAAACGTATTAAATGAGATAAAAAAATTTGTATTTGTTTGAAACTTTAATATATTTGAAGTTAAATTTTAAAAATACACTTATATATATAATCTTTTTAAGTTAATTACGTTTTTAACATGTTAAATATGTTTTCTAACTGATATTAAAAGAGAAACGTATTAAATGAGATAAAAAAATTTGTATTTGTTTGAAACTTTAATATATTTGAAGTTAAATTTTAAAAATACACTTATATATATAATCTTTTTAAGTTAATTACGTTTTTAACATGTTAAATATGTTTTGTAACTGATATTAAAAGAGAAACATATTAAACGAGATAAAAAAGTTAAATATTAACATGAAACATTTAACATGTTAAATTTAACATAATTAGATTAAAAGTATAATATTTATTATTTTTTAAATTTAGGATTAAAATGCATCCAAATTTAAAGATTAAAAACAGCTCCAATTTAAGAAGACTTTCGGGCCAATTGACACGGAAACAAACACAACAAAATAACAAAATGTGTTTGGAATTATAGAATACTTTTTCTATTCTGTATTATGTTTGCTACAAAAAAAGTAATATATAAGAAAAGTAATGTAAAGTTCCATTTTTAATATTAATCATAATATTTTATATATGTTATAATATGCAACATAATTATTATTATATTATTTAGATTATTAAATTATATTAATCAATTTTGAAATTTTTGTGAATTTATACAGACATTTTTATTTATTTATACATTTTAGTTTTCTTAATTGATAAAAACATAAGTACAGTACCCTTATGCATGCTAGATGCTTACGCATTTTAAAGAGTGGTTAGACATTTGCCATGCAAAGATATATAGATGCTTTTTTGTCTCATTAATTGTTTAAAAATATTAATTTTTATATTTTTTATTCTTATTACATGTATGTATTTTCATTACATAATATTTTGACAAAAAATGTAATCACAGGATTCATTTAAAGTAAAAAGGCAAAACAGTAACGTTGGTGTTTTGTATTATATTGTAAAGCGAATCAGACATACTTGTCTCTCATTCCTGGCTCTATTTAAGGAGCAGAAAACTTACAGGTGTTGCAAGAGAGCTGTTTGGCAATCCAACACCAAAACTCCATTTACACAATAATTTCACTTTTATCGTATTCATCTTCTTTCGCCGATTCCTCAGGACATGTTTCAGTAACCAAACAACACTTATCTCTCTCTCTTGTACTTTTTCTCTCCTGAAATTCTCTTCAGCTAACTGGAACCATGACAACAGCAGATATTGCTCGAACAGTGGTTGGCATCATTGGTGTCTGCTTCAACTTCAACTGCTTAAACTTCCTTTTATTTGTTCTCTTTTTTCTTTTCTCTTATGAATAATCTTTTTTTCTTAACTTCAGGAAACGTAATTTCTGGTGCCTTGTTTCTCTCCCCAGTGTAAGCTTCATCTTTCTGTCTTACCTTTTTATTATATACACGAAAGGAACTGATCATGCAAATTGATGATTTTTTAATGCTGATAAATAAATCAAAATTGTGTTTTATTATTAGTCTTTCCAAAACATGCAGTGGTTGCCTGTGAAATATAATTATGGAGTTTTGTTTTTTTAATACATTAATTCTGTACTTAATATGGGCTGAAATCGCACTGTGCCATTTTTTCATTGTTCAAATTCTGAAAACAGTAATAGTGCTATTTAATTACGTAACCTTTTTATTTTTAATGAATAATACTACCCTGCGTTTCTTTCTTTTTTAAATTATTAAAATGATAAACACAAATCTTTTTTATATTATTCACCGTTAATGTTTTTATAATTAAGGTAATCCAATTGCACCGACTAGAGTTGCAATCCCGAGGCTGACCATACTCACACATGATTGAGTTATAACATGAAAATAGCATACCAGAAAGTAAGACCATAATCGATACTTTACAAAGATTCCCCGTATTTCCTTTCAAGGAAAATTTGTTCCTTTTAGATAATATATTTTTTATTAACGTTTTCATTTCCATTTTTATTATACATTGAAATTATTTGAAGAGATAAAACTAAAATATTTAATAAGAAATCTATTCAAAATTATATTAAAAATAGAAAATATATTTTAATTCTTAAAAAAAAGAAATCGATGTTATATTACGTAGGAACAAAAGTAGGTATTAATACATCTAGATGAAAAACATCAAAAGTTAGTTACAATGATCATACTATAATTAATAAAGTAATATATTTATATATCGTCAAGTATATATATATATATATTAGAAAACAAAGATTTTGTTCCCATTTAAATATTACCTAATGATGTATATTTATATTTATCACTTTTTATAAGTCAAAAAAGACATTGTTCGCGAACTATTAATTTGTTTTTATATTATTTTAAAGGATTTCTTAAACGAAAGTGTCTTATTCTATCTCTATCTGTGTCTCTTGTTTTTATTTAATTGTTTTGAAAAGAAAATTACTTGTTCAACCTCAACAAAAATAAACAAAGTATGTGTTTTTATTCCCTCTTTCTAAAAACAAATAGATATTTAATCTTATTGTATGCACTATCTATGTGAACCAAATAATTTTGGCTCCATTAAAACATATCCTACAATCATATTATTAGTACGAAATTCCAAGCTATTTTATTGATGATAATCTTGTACAAATTGAGACAGGCCAACTTTTATCGAAATATGGAAGAAGCGATCAGTGGAGCAGTTCTCAGCAATCCCATACCTAGCTATGGTGGTGAACTGCATGGTTTGGACTCTCTACGGTCTACCCATGGTGCACCCTCACAGCATTCTGGTGGTAACCATTAATGGCTCTGGTTCTGTTCTTGCACTCATATTCATCGCACTCTTTTTGATCTACTCCGACGGAAAAAAGAGGCTCAAGGTTATCCTCTGCCTTTTGTTGGAACTTCTCTTCATTGCTGCTCTCACCTTTGTCACATTAACTCAAGTTCACACCTTCAAGAAACGCTCTGAAATTGTGGGAACAGTTTGCATTCTCTTCAATATCATGATGTATGCTTCACCCTTATCTGTCATGGTAATTTTCTTTCTATCTCTTCTTTTCAGTTTTTCCACAAACTAGTCAAATTTTTAGTTTAAATTACCAATTTATCTAAAAAAATTTCAAATTAAGAAAATAGACAAGTCGTGGGACTTATACGACTTCAAACCCGTTCCTGCACGACTGCACGATTTCATCCTAACGTCGTAGTAGAGGTGAAGTCGTATACTCCAAAATCGTTTTGGGGTGCACAACCTCACCTCTCATCCTGTTGTCAGGGTGAACACGACTTCTTCATTTGAAGTTATATGAATTCCCACCACTTATTTATTTTTGTAATTTGAAATTTTTTGCGTATACAAATAATTTATACTATAAATTTGTCTAGTTTTGTGCAAAAACTCTTCTTTTCCATGCATTACCATGTTACTTATAGTATCAATATTACATGATTGATTGTGTTCACTGCAGAAACTGGTGATCAAGACCAAGAGTGTGGAGTATATGCCCTTTTTCATCTCTCTCGCATCTTTTGGGAATGGCGTGGCTTGGACCACTTATGCTCTCATCCGTTTCGACCCATTCATCACTGTACATATAAATTATTTTTATTAATTTTAATTTTTAAAATTATCGTTTTAAATGAAATGAATAATAAATTCTTGGTATTATTCTTTGATTTTTAGATACCAAATGGGTTAGGGACATTGCTTGCGGTGGCTCAGCTGGTTTTGTATGCCACCTATTACAAGTCCACTCAGAGACAGATAGCAGCAAGAAATGCCACAAAAGAGGTGAATTTGTCACATGTTGTGGTGGGTAATGCTACCCAACCATCATCCAAGCCAAATCACTGATCATTGTTATTAATTTTGTACTCTCTGTTCTCTCCAATAAGAGATTTCCTCTGATGCAAGTTATTTCAACGTTTCTTAACAACGCTTATATATGAGTTTAAAATAGGATCCTGTATTTTAACAACTTTTATTAATATGAAAACTTTGTCATCGGCATTTTTAGTTGGGATGGGAGGTCATATAACATGTGTGTGCCAACAATAGATTGCTCGCATTTAGCGCATATAATCCCTAGAATAATGGTAAAGTAATATATGTTTATATTTATTTAACACATGCTATAAAGATAAAATGATTATAAAATAATAAAATTTTGTACTTTTAGAAAAGAAAAAAGAATAAAAAGAAAAGAGTATCAAATAAAGGTAAAGAAATTATTAAAATATCATTTTTCTAATTTCTATTGACTTAAATTCTTAAAAATCCAATAACACTACGTGACACATTGTATGTGTTTCTTCTAAATAAATTGTTTATTTGCGTTTCTTATCCAGACTATCTAAAAGTAATTCGCTCATTTGGATCTAATTAATTTAAAAGTAGTTTTCTTATTTGTGTTTTTTCTTTGCTTCAACGTAGTTCAAAGTCATTTTATGTTCAACCAGCTTATACTTAAAAATTATAAATAATAAAATTATAAATATTACTTATTTTAAGAAATAGACTATAAAATCTATTATCTCTACTAGTTTAATTAAATAGAAATAAAGTTATTAAAATTTTACGCCTTAATATTTTAGACAAGAAAAAATTACAAAACAAAAAATTTCTTATGGTGGTGGCAAGCTGGTCCACAAACGCGGGCTAAATGTTATGTGAGGCCAAAATAAGACACACTAGTGCTCATTGTCATTCCTACTTTAAAAAAAAAATTATCGACGAATCAAAAACTAATTATAATATATATATATATATATATATATATATATATATATATTATACAACTAAATCAATTTTAAAATTCTTTTAAAACATTATACTAAAGTTCAATAATAAATTTTGAAAGTTTACTACCAAATGGATTCATATAGTAAATACTAAAGGCTATAATGATTTGCAATTTAACTTAATAAATAATAAGATGACACATAACAAGCACAAAGTTTTAATTGCGCAAGAATAAACATATGTTTCTTATATCTGTTTCAGATTGTGAATATAGTGTAAGAGTTTACAGCACTCATTTTTATCTCGGTAGTCAAACTTAGAATCTGAATTGGCCAATGTGAACATACACAAATAGATAACAATGTGCATCTCTAAATTTATATACATATATTTAACATTTTTAATTCACACTTTCTCTATTCTATATCGACTAAATGTATTTGGAGTTCTATTTTTGTTCTTTTTAATGACATGTCTTAGAAAAAAAAGATAGTTTTAAAATAAATCAACTAACAATAGAAAATGCGAAAAATATGTTAATAAATACATTTCTAGTGGTCCATATATTCTAAGAAGTGATTACATCGAATTTTGTTGGCATTACTATTAAAGGTTTGGAAAGAAAAAATTAATATATAGTTTACTAAAAATGAAGACATAGACCAAGTTGACTACCCTAATCTTATCGCATGCACACATGCAACTTACCCAACTTAACGTTTAAGCGTTGTAGTTTCCTTTATCGTACCAATCTTCTCAGGTTATGGCACTTATAAAACATTACATCATTTGTTCTCTCATTTTCAGACACAACACAACAAACTAAACACACGTTAATTTTTTCAGCAACAACAAACACCTTCATCAAAAATGGCATTCCGGGTGCTCTCTCGAAGAATCCTCAATAACATTCATTGCAGCGCCGCAATGAAGCCCCGGAATACTTGCCATACCTCCCTCTCCACCGCCACCGTGTCGTCGTCCTCTGCGGCGACGACACTAAACTTAGAGGATGTAGAGCAGCTCTTTGGGTCGGTGTCGACGAAACAGTTGCTCCGATCCTCTGCTATACAACATGCAATGGCGGTGGATTGCATGGTGGACTTGGGAATATGGGTGACGAAGTTGAAGGTGTTTGAGAGTGGAATGCTGAGAGATCTCGTGATGACCACCATGCGCCACACGTTATACGCCAACTATTGCGGCGGCGAGGATGCTGCCGCCGCCGGGAGGAGCATACTGGCGCTGAACGATACCGGGCTGCGTAGCATGCTGGCTTATGGGGCGGAAGATGCATTCGACAATGAGGGGTGTGATGAGAATCTTCAAGGGTTCCTTCACAGTGTTGAGTTTACCAAATCCCTTCCACCATCCTCTGTAAGTGCCTTTATTTGTAGGCCTACTGCTACATTGCACTACTATTTTGTAATTTCTTTTATGTATATTTTTCGTTAGTTTTTCTTTGTGCCTTGTAATGTGTAATTTACGGAGGCTGGTTTAATTTTTGATGCGATAGGTGAGCTTTGTTGTTGTGAAAATCACTGCAATATGTCCCATGGTATTGTTAGAAAGACTTAGTGACCTTCTACGATGGCAGAAGAAAGACCCTTCATTCGTTTTGCCATGGAAGCAAGATTCCTTCCCAATTTTTGCAGAATCTAGCCCTTTGTACCACACACAGAAAAGACCAGAGACCCTGACCCCTGAAGAAGAGAGTGATCTTCAACTTGCCAACCAAAGACTCCATAAACTTTGCCAAAAATGTGAGGAAGCTAATGTTCCTTTGTTGGTCGATGCTGAAGACACCACTGTTCAGCCAGCTATTGATTACTTCACATACTCTTCTGCAATCATGCACAACAAGGATGACAAGCCCATTGTGTTTGGAACCGTTCAAACTTACCTGAAAGATGCCAAGGAGAGGTTGTTGCTGACAACAAAGGCAGCAGAAAAAATGGGAGTTCCAATGGGGTTGAAATTGGTGAGGGGTGCTTACATGTCCAGAGAGAGTAAATTGGCCAAGTCTCTCGGATTTGCATCCCCAGTTCACAGTACCATTCAAGACACACACAATTGCTTCAATGATTGCTCATCATTTATGCTCGAGAAAGTTGCCAGTGGACCTGGTTCAGTTGTTCTTGCAACCCACAATATTGAATCTGGTATTACTCAATTTGTAATGACATAAAAGTTAAATTTTTATGAAAATCTTAGTATCCCAATTCAAGTGTTTGAGACTATTGACAATGGTTTGCAGGCAAATTGGCTGTGGGAAAATCACATGAATTGGGAGTTGAAAAGGTGAATCAAAAGCTAGAATTTGCACAGCTATATGGAATGTCAGAGGCACTTTCCTACGGGTTGAGCAATGCAGGGTTTCGGGTTAGCAAGTATATGCCATTCGGGCCAGTAGAAATGACTATGCCCTACCTCATTAGAAGAGCTGAAGAGAACAGAGGGGTCTTGGCTGCTTCAGGTTTTGATAGGCAATTGACTAGGTAAGCTAAATCTTTTATTCATTAGCCTCTTCACCCGTGAAATGAGAAATATTTTCTTTGATGTTACGCTAACAATAATCATAATTTCTTGGTGAACAGAAAGGAGTTGGCAAGGAGACTGAAAGCTTTAGTGTTCTAATTAATGCATGAAGCCGTGTTGCAGGACTCATTGACTTAGTATAAATTAGAATGTTTTTGTAATTTGATGGAACTGTGCATTCAGTGAAGTGAAATATGCATTGTATTGGTACTTTTGTTGGAAATGTAACTAAGCGTTTGTTCATGCAATGATCGTTTGCATAAATTAGGAAAGTATCAAGTTAGAAACTAATTATTTTAGTAATTAATATTTTGATAACTAATATTAAAGACTAATTTAGTGATCAATTCATAACTTAATTATAATTTTTATTTATAATAAATACTATTTTAAATATTAATAATTTTTAATTCATAAATTTATGTTTAAATTGGTTACAATAGTAATATTTTGTCTTTAAAATTTGGTTATAGTTTAGACTTTTTTTTTCTAGTGTTAGTTAATATAAATTTTAAGAAAACTAACATATAAAACATTATATATAAGAAAATCAACTTTCTCAATATAGCTTTAAATCAAGTTGGACTATTAATTTAATTTTAATACAAAAGATTTCTCACTGAAGGTATAACTAATTTTAAAATTTCCTTAAATTTAAATATTTTAATAGAATATTTATTAAATTGTTTCCCCGTGAACACATGAATTTTTTATATTTATGCATTAAGCTTTTTGAAGTTTAATTTTTTAATCAACGGATTGAGTGATTATTATATTATCTCATATCACAGTTTTGCTTATTTGTCTTCAGTTATCACAAAAATAAATTTTTGTGCTTCATATAAAATAATATTACTATTAATATAAAATTACAAAACTAAAAGTAACTTTTTTTTAATAAAAAACTTATTGGATAATATGGAAGTCATTGAGACCAGATGTATTATTTTACATTATCCACAATGTTCTTTTTTTATTAACACCAATTTTTACGTAATACTTGAATAAAGACAAATATAATTAACTTTTGAATAAAAATGGTCGTATTGAATAAATTTACAGAAATGATGGGCGAAAAATAAACTACTAATTTTAATTTTAATTATTATACAATTTAGGATTAATATATTTTTGAAGAGTAAAATAGATGTTAGAGTGGTGCTCCTTGTACTTTACTTATTTCACCTGCACCTCCCATTTTATGCTTTTACACTTTATTTATTAAAATCAAATAAAAATTAATGATGAGTTAATTATTTTTTAACAAAATTATATCCAAAATAAATTATATTATATATATGGTTTATAAAAGCAAACAAATATAAAAAGAAAAACATATAATTACATAATAATAAATATCAAAACAAATAATAATTAATAAAAAAATTAAATATTAATAATAATTAGTTAATAAATAATACTTAAATAAGTACGAATTATAACAATAACATTAAAAATTAAAAAAAAAACATAATAAGTGAAAAATTAAAATTTATGCATAACAAAAATCATTTAAATAAATAAATAATTTCAACATTTATCCTCTGTGTTCCCGCGCTCCAACTCCGCGAATTCATCCGATGAAAGATTGAAGGGGGTTAGGGTCTTTAGAGAGCAAAGAGTGAAGAACACCGTCATTTCCCTCT